AGTTGGAGTCAGTGGTGAAGGATCTGCTGGATTTCCATCTGCTGGATGGGACACGAGTGGAGGAACCAGTGGGTTACCCTCAGGAGCTGAGCTCAGTGGAGACCTATCTGGAGTGCCAGAGTTCAGTGGAGACCTATCTGGGGTGCCTGAGCTCAGTGGGTTACCCTCAGGACTGGATATCAGTGGACAATCATCTGAAATACCTGAGATCAGTGGCCAGGTGGATCTAAGTGGCCTTATTTCTGGCATTGATGGAAGTGGTGAGGCCTCAGGCATTACCTTTCTAAATGCCAGTTTAGTAGAAGTGACAACCCCCTCTGTTACAGAAGTGGAAGCAAAAGAGATTTTGGAGATCAGTGGCTTGCCTTCAGGAAGTGAAGACACATCAGGCATGGTATCTGGTAGTTTAGACATCAGTGGTTCTGGGCATATAGACTTTGGTGAGAGTGTTCCTGGAGTGCTCGAGACGAGTGGACTTCCAAGTGGAGTCATTGACAGCAGTGGAGAAGTCTCTGGGGTTGAAGTCACTAGTGGCCTAATGTCTGGAGAAGGAAGTGGACTCGCATCTGGCTTTCCTACAATCTCTCTTGTGGATACCACTTTGGTTGAAGTTGTTACTCAGGCATCTGTTGCACAAGAGGTGGGCGAAGGGCCATCTGCAATGATAGAAATCAGTGGTTTTCCTTCTGGAGACAGAGAAATATCTGGAGAAGGGTCTGCAGCTGTGGAGACTAGTGGGTTACCCTCAGGGACGGGAGACTTCAGTGGAGAGCCATCCGGGATCCCTTATTTCAGTGGAGACTTTTCTGGAGTCACAGACCTAAGTGGACAATCTTCAGCAGTGACTGATTTTAGTGGGGAGGTCTCAGGGCTTCCAGAAGTCACTTTAGTCACTTCTGATTTAGCTGAAGTTGTGACAAAACCAACAGTTTCACAGGAACTGGGTGGGGAGTGGGGAAACATCCGCATTTCCAGAAATCAGTGGGGAAACATCCGCATTTCCAGAAATCAGTGGGGAAACATCCGCATTTCCAGAAATCAGTGGGGAAACATCCGCATTTCCAGAAATCAGTGGGGAAACATCCGCATTTCCAGAAATCAGTGGGGAAACATCCGCATTTCCAGAAATCAGTGGGGAAACATCCGCATTTCCAGAAATCAGTGGGGAAACATCCGCATTTCCAGAAATCAGTGGGGAAACATCCGCATTTCCAGAAATCGGCTTAGAAACATCCACAGTTCAAGAAATCAGTGGGGAAAATTCTGCATTTCCAGAAATCAGTGGGGAAACATCCACAGTTCAAGAAATCAGTGGGGAAACATCTGCATTTCCAGAAATCAGTGGGGAAACATCTGCATTTCCAGAAATTAGAATAGAAACATCCACAGTTCAAGAAATCAGTGGGGAAACATCTGCATTTCCAGAAATCAGTGGGGAAACATCCGCATTTCCAGAAATTAGAATAGAAACATCCACAGTTCAAGAAATCAGTGGGGAAAATTCTGCATTTCCAGAAATTAGAATAGAAACGTCCACCAGTCAAGAAGCCAGGGGTGAAACTTCTGGCTATCCTGAAATTAGCATAGAAACATCTACAATTCAAGAAATCAGTGGGGAAACTTCTGCATTTCCTGAAATAAGCATAGAAACATCTACAGTTCAAGAAATCAGTGGGGAAACTTCTGCATTTCCTGAAATTAGAATAGAAACATCTACAATTCAAGAAATCAGTGGGGAAACATCTGCATTCCCTGACATTAGAATAGAAACATCCACAAGTCAAGAAGCCAGGGGTGAAACATCTGCATTCCCTGAAATCAGCATAGAAACCTCAACAATCTATGAAAACAGTGGGGAAGTATCTGCATTTCCTGAAATTAGCATAGAGACTTCAACAGTGCATGAAATCAGTGGGGAAGCATCTGCATTTCCTGAAGTTAGTATAGAAACATCCACAACTCAAGAAGGTAGGGCTGAAACATCTGCATTTCCTGAAATTAGCATAGGAAGTTCAATGGTACACGAAATCAGCGGGGAAACTTCTGCATTTCCTGAAATTAAAATAGAAACATCCACAACTGAAGAAGCTAGAGGTGAAACGTCTGCATTTCCTGAAATTAGCATAGAAACAACAGTCCATGAAACTAGCGGGGAGACATCTGCATTTCCTGAAATTAGCATAGAAACTTCAACAGTCCATGAAACCAGTGGGGAAACATTTCCTGAAATTAGAATTGAAACATCCACAAGTCAAGAAGCCAGGGGCGAAACATCTGCATTCCCTGAAATTAATATAGAAACATCCACAAGTCAAGAAGCTAGGGGAGAAACATCTGCATTCCCTGAAATTACCATAGAAGCATCCACAGTTCAGGAAGTAAGTGGGGAAGCTTCTATGTACCCTGGAATTAGTATAGAAACTTCAACAGTGCATGAAATCAGTGGTGACACATCCGCATTTCCTACAGTTAGAACTGAAACATCTACAAGCCAAGAAGCCAGGAGTGAACCTGAAATTAGCACAGAAACATCCACAGTCCAGGAAAGCAGCAGGGAAAGTTCTGCCTTGCCCGGTGTCCACATGGAAACAGCTACCACATCTTCAGTAGGAACTGAGTCTTCTGGAGCTCCTGAGAAGGAAATTACTGAAGTGACATCTGAAACTCTGACACACTCAATCACAGACATTTCAGGGGAAACCTCTGTCCCAGACACTGTGATTAGTACCCATATTCCAGATGTTGAATTAACACAGGAAGCCAAGAGTCCTGAAGAGGCTCAGCTTGAAATAGAGTCCTCCACTCCCACAGTGCCAGGACAAGAGACACAAACAGCTGTTGTTCAAGACCCTCCACATCTGTCAGCCACCGCTACTGCAATCCTGCCTCAAGTGTCACCAGAAGCAGTAGATGCTTTAGGACCCACTGCTGAAGGTACTGTGCCTTGTTCTTCTAATCCTCACACACTATGAAAGGGAAGGCAGGGAGGGGGCTAGCTTTTATTTGTTTTATGTATGGCAAGGAATGTTCAAACAGAAATAGACTTGCAAAGAACTTTATCATGGTGGGAAACCATAAATGTGGGGTTTTCCACCTTACAGTAAAAGCTGAAACCTCAAGGTTTCAGTTCACCAGGCATTGCTAGATGACAGCCCTGGAGAAAGCAATGTTTAATGTCCCTGGCCTTTGGGGCAGTTGTGCACCGGGAATGCTGCAGCATCACCTGTGTTCAGAGAAGTAGACATGGCTCCAAAATGGGTCATGATTGATAGCTTCTGTCTAATAATGCTACTGTCTGTGTTTGGGTAGGGAATCTAGTTATCCAGCCAGTGTAATGGCAACCCCAGGCGCCTCCTGGACTTCCCTTCCCTGCCCACGGCAGTCACATTCCCCTGGTGACGCCGTTACACAGGGCAGCTCTTTCCTCTGCCAAGCAGATGGGAGGTTAGAAAGAGAGAGTATTTGTTGGTTCTCCATGAGTGCTACTGTAACCAGGTCCCAGCGTGTGATATATCTGGGGAAAGCACTAGGGCATGCACTTTCCTTCTGAAATTGGTCTTAACCGTTGCTCCAGTCTAAAGCAACAAATATTTCTTTTGCTGTGGAAACAAGAGCTCTACCTGTCAAAGACACTCACTCTGGCTGGAGAACGTGGCTGAGAAGTTAAAAGCCTTTTCCATTTTGTTTCCCCTTTCTGTGACGTGTTCTCTTGCTGCCTGTATCTGAGTGTATTCATAACACTTGCTATGGAGTGGGAGACTGTCCATTAGCAGCTGCTGTGTGCCAAGGAGCTAAAATACCTAAATAAATAAATAAATAGCCAGCCTTGGAGGAAAAAAACCTCTGCTCTCAGAGCTGCTTGTGCTGAGGGGAATATTTGCACAGGGCAAAATGTGTCAGTCTTTGTGTTGCCTTTTGGCACCATGCTTGGACACCCTTGAGTCTAAATGTTGTGCTGCTGTCTGCAGCTAGAAGCGTCTGAAGGATCCGATGTCTGAGACGATGCTCAGAGCAAACGAACGTTACCTTTTGCCAGCCTCCCTGATAAATGCCATTCCTCCCATCCTGTCCCTTTTTGGTGCACTCATGCTCTGCGCCTTGGTAAGTTCCATTGCTGCTAAGTATAAACAGATACAATATTTGAATTGGAGTAACCTTTTATGGTGAAAATGCTCTGCAAGCCCTTTGACAAGCCTCCCTCTGAGCTGCGCTCGCGTGCCACAGAGGCAATAGGGCACTACAAGAAGAAAAGAAAGGAGATGGGATGTTGTTGAGCTTGTCAGCTACTGCTGCTTGGCCAGGAAAAGAACCCATCCCAAGTAACATGTCCCACGACATGCCAGGCCTCGGCCTGCCTTCACTTTGCTGCAATTAGGAGCAGGCTCCATGTGCTGTGGATAGACATCATTCCAAGCTGTCAAGGCTTGTGCTGCTGTCAAATGGTGCAACACGAACTTTTGGGTGCGTCACCGCCTCAACAGGCCATTCACACACGCTGCTGTGCCCAGCTCCTAGCAAAAATAGTATTAATGCCAGGTTCCTACCATTTGTTACCTCCTGAACTGCTGCTTCTTGGGTTAATTTACACTATTCAGCATAGTTTGCACTGGATTTGTAAGGGTCTTTAAGTGCAGGGCTTTGTGAAGCTCGGCCTGGTTTCTAAATTAATTTCCATTCCCAAAGTGTTTTGAATGAGTCACTGGATTTCTCTGCGTCACTTCTCTCTCTGGGAAAACAGAGGTAATCATAAACCTAAGTTCATTAAAAACATGTGAGGCCCTTTCTGTCCCTCTCAAGCCGCTGTACAATGGATCCCACAGGAGGGCAAGTCAGCAGGATCGTAACTGCAAAGCTCTTCCACCTTCGTATGGGGTTGCACCTTGTCAGGATGCTGCAAGTTACCTGCACTGCCCAATTAAATACCCAAAGACCTTCTCTGCACCCCGATGGCTTCTGCTCTGGGGCCGAGCTCACTGCCACGTCCCAGCCTGGAGGCAAAGACAGTTCAGCAAAGGCGGGGAAGGAAGGAAACTAGCCAGGAAGGCTAAGCTAAATAAGAATTTTTTAAAAGGTCCAAAATGTGGTTTGATTTCACTGCTTTTTCTTTTTCTAAATTACCCACAAGGATATTGCCAGATTTTTCAGAGCATTTGGCATTTGTTAGCCAACATTCTTGTGAAGTATTCTGGGAGAAAACTGTGCATTTGTCAGCTCGTGTGTGAAGAAGTTTGAATATGCTCTAAAAAAGGAGCTTGCTTTGTATTTGTGTGTTGCAGAAATGACAGCGTAGCAGCCAGGATTTCCAAGCAGGAAAGACATAACTGCATAAAGCTTAATTATAGATTCATTATAAGCCTGCGATGGGCTTCAGAATATGTGCTTGGTGGGAGTTCTCCAGAAGGAAGGTATTCCCAGGTGAAACATCTTTTATCTGGCTAAACTTCTTTGCACAGTGCTCCATGAAATGCAGCCTTGGTCAGGGTCTGAACAAGGTTCATCCAGGCTCTAAAACATATATGGGCCATCGATAAACAAGACCCTTGCAATAGGTGAACTTCATCTAAGACATTACAACAAAGTGGTAACAAAAGAAAAAGTATTCACAGATTTTGTGGGTGTTTTTTTTTTTTTTTACTCTGATCCTACCAGAGAGAAAGTTTTCAAAGTGCCCTGAGAATTTGGAACATGAAAAGTCTACAAGGAAGAACTCCATAGCTTCTTTATTAAAAAATTGGACTAAAAATGATATTTCTTTATTTCTGGCTACTTGCTTTGTCTGAAATTTCCTAGTCCAGAAATCTTGCAGAAACATCAGTTATAATATCTGTGCATTGATCTGTGCTCTGTGTTGGTAAAGTGTAGCAAATACCCTTTAAAGGTAATTAATCAAGTCTAGCAGTAAAGCAGGGGCTGAAGGAGTTCTGCTTACGAGAGAAGTCTGGAGTGAGGGACAGGGAGCGCGGGGCTGTTGTGCTCCAGCTTCACCAGTTAGATTCAGCAGTCCTTTTAATGGAAGGAATTATCATTTTCTGCTTGCTATAACCTCTACTTCTCTGAGAGAAACAGTCAGTGAAGACTAGCCCTGCAAATACTAGTATTTCTTTATTTCTTTACCAAATTGAAGGATACACAGGCACAGGAACCTTGCAAGACTAAAGCTTGAAGAATAGGCCATAGATCTGGCCTCTTCATCCAGAGTTTTGTCAACCCACTGGATCCTTTTTGCTTCTGGTAACATCTGAAAACAAGTAATTATTAGCTGAAAAAAGCACGCTGGTATTTCAGTGAAAAGCTGTGGTTTGGAGCACTATAACTAGCTGATGATTTTAAAAACACGCTCAGATCAGAGGAAAAAAATAATATGCTGAAATGGCAGCAATTTATGCTAAATTCTGCTTGTCTCTCGTGGAACAAGTCCATGGGTTCTGCTGCCTATGATCCCAAAACAGCTAAATGTGAGAATCCAAACAGGAAAAGGTCTTCACGGGGTTTCGCGCTTCTTAATGCCCTATCCAAAGGAGTGGGGATTAATTATTTTCCTAGTGTTAATGATTTTAATGGCTTAATATTAACTGGAACTCACTAGTTGGCTATGTAGTGGCCAATGCTAGTAATTTTTTTTAAATGTAAGGGAATCGTTTTCTTAGACTCCTCTTACTTTTCTTAGACTCCTCTTATTTTCCTCTAGAACTCAGTCTAATTGCTGAAATATTTTTCTCCTCTGCCTGATTGTCATATTGTTCAGACTTTCCAGGGATCTCTGAAAAGCAAACTTAATTTCTAGCTGGATACTTTTCCTGCAGTCGCTGTAAGACAGTTATCCAATTGATCATTGGAGACCCTGTTTTGATAGTCACGTTTATAAGGAGATGTGTAAAGAAGTGAGTGGCACAACATGGACCGTTGAATATACTGAAAATGTCTTGCTTTTCCATCTTTGCTTTTCCTCTTTGCAGAAGAGAAGCAGGAGTTCCCCACCAGTTGCTTACAGCTTCTCCAAAACTCAGTTCAGTGTTTGCGATAGCATCCCATCTGTTTGCAAGCTGCTTCTCCTCCATAAATATTTTAAGAGCAAAGCTAACCTTGTTTATGGGATATTTTTACTCATCATCGATATAAGCTCCCATAGACAGACATGCACAAATTGTACAAATTTTCAAAAAGCCTTTGCACAGAGTCTAGTATTGTCTTCTCAGTTTGGGATGGAGGATTTCAAAAGTCCTTATTTCTCACCGATAGCACTGCATGTTCCCTTTTCTGCATCATTTGCCTCTTGAGCAAAACCTGGACCAAACTAATTCTTTTTCTTTTCGAAGTGATTTCTCATACTAGTTTCCATGAACACACGTGTCACCTTCAGAGGCTACAGGGACTGTGCAGAGCATGTTGCCCTCAGAGGCTTTGGGAGAGCACTTGTGTTTAGTTGCATCAAAACAAAGTAGTGCTGATTAATGTAGGATGTATTTGGCAGCGTGTAAGAGAAAGCTTAGGAAGAAAATGGTGAAACAAATTCAAGGTTTGCATTGTATCTCTGTAACCCCCTTTGCTTTCTCCAGCCAATACTTCATGTTTCCCAGATGCCAAGACACTGTTTACGTTGGTTTTGTTTGTCTTCTTTCTTGTTTTATTTTATGGTTTTGAATTTTAAAAGCTTTTTTCCTGAAAGTCAGATTTCAAGTCATATTAATAACATTAAGTAAAAATTGCTGACAATAGATTTGGATAATCTTTTACAACTTCTGGGTGATATTAACTGCAGTACAAATTGCTGAGCTTGCTTTAGCAGTAAGAAGTGAGTTAATACATATAAAATGGGCTTCTTACACCTGCACTACAAGTTCTTTTTTTTTTTTCTTCCCTGCCTCTGTTTTAGAGCTGAAACTCTAGAAACCAAGAACTGCCTCTGCTCCGTGTCCCATACCACTTTGTCTGTCCTTTATTAGCACTCAGTGATAGTAGTAATAGTCTTCCTTCTTGTCCTTTCACAAGTGCTTGAGCTGCAGGATTGCCCCAGAGGTGAGAGAGAGCAAAGCCAACTTTCCGAATGAGTGTTTATCCAAACAGATAAATAGCTCAAGGATGCAGAAGATTTTTGGATCTTAAGGATCCAATTAAGACGTTAAGGAACGTGGCAGCCAGCTGCTGTCAGCGTTGCTCTGTGCTGTGCGGTGCTGTGGGCTTTCAGAATGGTTGAAAATGTGCACAATGATTTATTAGCTTTATCCAGCTCAGCTCTCTGGGCGTACGCATTTAGGGTATCTAAAATGTTAAGAAGAGAAAAGCCAAGCTAAGCAATAGATGGGACTTTGTATTATTTTAACAGGAGTTCTCGCCTCCTGCAAATCCTCTGGCTGTGATGTGATATCCTAGAAATGCCCACAGACCTGCTTGCCAGGGCTTCCAGTGGCAACATTGCCTCTCGTTTTACCTTTAGAACTCACTTGTAGTGAGTTTAGAGAGTCCTCTAAGACCCACATTTTCTGGAAGGACAGTCAGCAACGCTTCCTCCAAACAGGCTGATGTGTTTCGGTTTCCTTGTAGTTGGCTTCGTGAAACAATTCCTACATCTAATCAGAGGCACAGTCAGAACCCCAAAAAACAGTAGGCTGAAGGGAGAGTTTGGTATTTGTGATCGTAATGTGTTTAAAATGTCTTATTTTCAGGCATTTTCAGCATACTTCTGGGAAAAACGTGTTTGTCTCTCACTTGTCTTTGTTGTCTGTTTTTTTTCCAACAGTATCTTCAAGTATAGAACCTTTCTCTTTGCATGCTCTATATAAATATGTATGTATACTATGGGCACATATATAACATATATACATGCTGAGATTTATTTTTAGAGTATATATAATATGTGCAGTCATATTATATACAATATCTGTAAAAGGAAATCCTGTTCCAGTGTTATTTCCCAGCTGGAGATTTTGGCAATGAACTTGCATGTGTGTATCTGCTCCATCTTGCTCCAAGATTGGGAATGGCAACTTACAGCAGGTCTCGTGCATCCCAGAAGAGATCTTGGATGCACCGATTTTTAGGCCACGTTGGCGAAGATGGCTGAAGACTCCTTATGCCCTGCTAAACATTCTGTTTTAGCTCTTTTATGTGCTTTGTTTCTGTTTCCGCGTTGTACTTTCCACTCCATGGAAACTAATGGACAAAGGAGAGCCTTTCCTTACTTGTTCAGCTGGAGCCCACTGGAATCAGTATGAACTTCTGCTGCTACTGCTGTTGGGAAGCCTGGGAAACCTCTACCGTTACAATCAACCATCAGGACACTTATTTTTCTATTTTTATTTCTTTCCTTTTTGTTGTTTTTGTTGTTCTGGAAAGTCTCAAGGTGTTTATTAGTATCACAATCGCAATTTCCTCCACGTTGCAGTCAATATAATAATCCAGGAAGTATTCGTGAATACTTAGAAGTGCAATCCAGAGGAAAAAAAATTCTTTTCTTGTGAAGAACTGATTGCAAAGTTGATATAAGTGGTTCATCAGCCCTCTGGGGACTAATTGCATTTCTCATAGTGATACATCCTAGAGTAAAGATGATAATCCTCATGCTCCAAAACACAAACTGACTTATCCAAGGTCAAGAAGAATCTTTTCTTTACCTTGTTACAGAACACTTCTACTTTTTGTTGACATATCAGATGTTGGCCACTGTGTGACTAGGTGCTCACCCAGGTTAAAACATGTATCTGCTCTGCTGTCTCTGGAAATGCTGAACAGCTGGGCCGCTATTCTGCAGGGAAACAATATCAGACTGAACATACCCTAATCAGAAGAATACAGGAATTGCTGCTTGGCTCTGGTATGGGTGTTTCCATGACCAGCACTCTCATCATCTGTGAATATTTTCTCACTAACCCATCCACAGGAGCGCTGAGTATTAGTCAGCATTTTTAAAGCCTTACGTTTCTTCCAGACTGTTGCAAGACTCTGAGAGAGAAGCATTTCTTCACAAAAGGATCTAACCTAACCTGCATGGATTTGTTTCCAGTTTCTTCCTTAGTATTGTTCCTTACTTCTTGAGGTGAACATCTCTGAAATCTTTTCATTCTAAATTACTTTTCTTCTGATTCCAAAGCTCCATAAGTAGGAGTAGGTTTAAGTAAGAAAGATACTAAGAAAATATCTATTATTTCCAGCAAGAGTTAGATTTTACAGTATGTAGATAAGAACTGGCTTGTTGTGGTCCTCTTCAGAGCATCCTGGCTTCCCTCCTTCTGCCCCAAGATGAAAGCTGATAGAAGTGTTACCAAACAACAGCATTTACTACCCAAGCCAGTGCTAGCTAGCAAGCAGGGAAGCACTGCAGAATTGAGGGCCTAACTCTTCTCATTCCAACTTCTCTTTTTACCTCTGGAAATGCAGAAAGATTTTTAAAGCCTGCTCAAGATGGGAAGTTAAGATTCCTTCTCCATGAAGGATTCACAATTAAAAGAACATATAGTGAGGACAGGTCTGGAGAAAATGGCATTTCTCTCCATCATTCTTTGACAAGAAATAGTTTCCTATGGCCCATCCTAACATCTTCAAGAAGCAAAGGTTGAGGGTCTTTGAACCATCTTTGCAACTACTTTTATTCTCCCTTGCATTTAACTTATTTTAGGTGAGGCTTCTGCCTGGATTTTCTTCTGAATCGTGGTTAGAAAAAAATAGTAAGGATTTCTGTTTCCAAGCAAGAGATAAAGCTTTGTTCCAGGATGTTTCCCTCGCTTATGAGAAGCCCACACTCTTCCTTCCAGCATGTAGCTGGTGGAAGGCAAGACACAAGTTTGCATATTTCATCCATCAGGAAGAGACAGTGAAAAAGGAAAAGACACCACAGATGTCAATGATAGCATGTAGGAAATGTGTCTGCTGAAGTTGTCTTGGTATCTCCAGAGGGTGTTCAGTCATCAAATGGCAGAACAACATCTTCCGCATAGGATGGGTCAGGTCTCTTGTGTTCATTCCTCCAGCAGCAGCAGTGGCAGTAGGTTTTATAATAAGACCTTAATCACTCCCAAGTTCTCCCCAGATTACTGACATGTCCTTCTAAACAAGCAAGGAAACCAGTTCTCCTGTTGGTGGAGTTCTCTGCCCAGAGCCCTAATGGAAGCCCTTGATTTCTTGCAGACATTGATGAGTGCCACTCAAGCCCCTGTCTGAATGGAGCTACCTGCGTTGATGGCATCGACTCTTTCAAATGCTTATGCCTTCCCAGCTACGGAGGGGACATGTGTGAGATCGGTACGGCCTCCTTGGCTTCAGCTAATCTTACTAACATCTGCATTACCTTGTTCTCACCCTACACTCCAAAAAAAGCTGATCCCGTGTGCTCCCATCGGTCATGCCTTCATCGCAGCAAGCTAACCTCTAACATCAGATTTAAATACTCACAGTAGGGAAAAGCTTTGAGCGTTTTGCTTATATTTTTTAATAATTTTGTTCATCACAGCACCATATCCTAAGCAAGAGCTTCTGGAGTCTTCTTTAACTTTTCCTTTTTTTCTTTCTTTTTTTTTTTTATAAGCTTCTCTAGTGAAGCAGAGTAGAGTGCAGTAAAGTTCATCACAGAGGTCACTATCTCTTCAGGTAAAGGGTCTTCCTGTTCATCTGTAGCAGTAGCTGTATGCCTAAGAACATCTTCACCGCAGGCAAACTTTCTCTGCTAGACTGGAATTTCGTGAAAAGATGCTTGAACTGAGCCATGTAAAACGATTGTGTTTCACTCTGTGAATACGCAGCTGAAAGAAACCTCATTCACCCCAGGGATCCCCACCAATTTGACTCAGCATGACATTTTTGTCATCTCTTGAACATGGCTTCTTGTGGCAAAATCAGCAGGGAATGTCTGTCTTTGAGGAAGTATGAAATGACCTATTTTTTTCATCAAGATGAGATACTTAGCCCTGCACTAATATTTATTTTTCATTCTATAAGTAAAGAAAAAATATGTATTTTTTTTTCTTAAAGCTTATAAGAGCCCACACTTCTATCAGTTTAGCAATGAGGGCAAGCTCTCCTGCCTTGCTTAAAAAAAAAAAAAAAAAAAAAAAAAAAAAAAGAATAAGGTTACAATTCGTTCTTTACCTTGCCATGAGTAATAGTAAAATATATCGTCTCCTCCCCTTTTTTGTCTTTACATCTCTTTCTGCTTTCAATACGAACATACAACGGAGACCACAAGAAAAAGGCTGTGAATTGTTGGACTTGTCTGGGCTGGAGTTTTGCTCTCTTCAGTTCTCTTAAGTGATGCAACCTAATCAACTCCTGATTTCCCCATTCATGCCACCTTTTGCTTTGCCAAAAGATCCCTGAGATAGAACATGAGGTGTTTCTATCCTATGGCTACTTATGACCTTGTTTGGTCCAAGCCAAACTTAATTTCCTCTTTTCTATTATTAATGGCCTCATGGCAGCTAGGGCCCATACCTAGGAGATTAGGAAAGCCAGTACCCTACATTCAATGGTGAATATAAATCTTTATTCCCGTGAGATTTTGCCTTCTCTGACATCTATCACTCTCCAGGAACAGCAGGGACTCTGTAAGTGATCTCTGCTGTCCATGCATATAGTCAGTCCATCCGTCTTGTCACTAAAGTAGTGTCACTGCTAGGGACAGGCTTTTCACAATTATTTTCAGAAATGATCCCTGTCATATTTACCCCTAAGCAATAGCCATGTAGGAAAGAGAGGACTTTCTCCCAGGCAAGTCCTGCTGAGGATTCGTGCCATGTTCTGTTCCCTCCCCAGACCGTGACAACAAGGGGTGACATGCAAACAGCAGGAAAAAAAAAACTGCATTGCAAAGCATGAGTGCCAGTTCTGGACATCTGAATTCAGGTTTCAAGATTGCTTTCCGAAGCAAGAAAATTCTGCAAGACAGCATGAGTTTAGAAGAGAAGGGTTGTTGCTTGGGTCAGTCTCTCATAAACAGAGTCCTGGAAAACCACCTGGGGTTTGAATTGCTTAGGAATCTGTCTGTCTCACTCAAGTTTTCCAATAGTGTTGATGACCATACTGTAAACAGATGGTCTTCAAAGCAGCCTCCTCCCTCTGAGTGTTTCTTGGATGCCTTCTGATCATTTTCCCTAGGATGTAACAGCCGATACTGGGGCTTGGTTTTTAGTGAATGTGACCATGTGTCGTTCTTCTGTGCCATGAGTGTGTGAGCGGCTAAGAGGTGAGTTGGAATGCTTCCAGCCACATGCAGCCAACTCCTATTTATTCCTCCATTGTGTGTTTCAGACCTGGAAAACTGTGAGGAAGGTTGGACCAAGTTCCAGGGCCACTGTTACAGGCACTTTGAAGAGAGGGAGACTTGGGTGGATGCAGAGACCAGATGCCGAGAACATCAAGCCCACCTGAGCAGTATCATCACCCCAGAAGAGCAAGACTTTGTGAACAGTGAGTGTTGAGGGTGGCCTTGAAGGTGTGAGGATGGGCAGGGGTCAATCAACCAAACTGCAAGTATGTGGATAGACTAAAGGGGCTAAAATAACACAATTATGCAGTGAATTTTCAGATATTTCCTGTCAAATGACATCTTGTCCTTGTGTGGGAGAGGAAGAACTATTAGGCCTCAGAACAGGAGAAGGCCTGTTCATGACTAGGTCAGATCTGTGCTCCCGTCACATAGCCAGTGTGGTTCACAAAATGTTCACTTGCTATAAACCCAGTGACCCATGGCAGTGTAGATGGCATAAAAGATCTTGTCATCACAATAAAGTTAGCAGGGAGAGAGATGAAGCAGCAGCATAACAGGGAAAAAAAAATGTGGATAGAAAGGACTAGTGACTGTGAAGGAGTGAAATGACCCTGCGATATCCTGGGAGAGGGGTGCTGAGGGGTGGAAGCCACGGCAAGGTGGGTCTGCTCTTTCTCACTCGTCTCTCCCTGTCTGTTCCATGTAGACCACGCACAGGACTACCAGTGGATCGGGCTCAGTGACAGAACCGTTGAGAATGACTTCCGCTGGTCCGACGGGCACTCGCTGGTGAGGAAGGGCACGGGGTGCTGAGCCTGGGACCACGGAAAGCAGGGGGATGTGGCTCTTTGCAGGCTGTGTTAGCTGTGTGGGCAAGGAAAGAGGCTGCTGACAGCACTGCACGTGTTCTGTGCTGAGAGCTTGAATCAGGTATTGAGTGGAACCACTCAGAACACTCTGGACCCAAGGGCTCTTGGTTTCTCCCAGTTTTTCCAGCCTCTAGTAAAATAGGGCCTGACCTGTAGCTAAGCTGCCAGGTATCATCACAGTACAAATAACAATGGTAGTTGCATTGCTGTTAATAAATGCTGGTGAGGGGGCAGAAGAGGCAGGAGGAGAAATGAAACAGGGATAGGAGAGAGGGAAGGACTCAGTCTTAGGGGAAGGGCTTTTCTCTCTCGACAGCAATTTGAGAACTGGCGGCCCAATCAACCCGATAACTTCTTTGCTGCTGGTGAAGACTGCGTTGTAATGATCTGGCATGAGCAAGGCGAATGGAACGACGTCCCGTGCAACTACCATCTCCCTTTCACGTGCAAGAAAGGAACAGGTGAGCCGGGCTCAAGCAAAGCAAAGATAGAGGGAGCCAGTCTAGGCCCAGGCACCAGCTCCAGGGCTGGAGCATGCAAGCAGCCAGCTTTGGTCTCCAAGAGGTGTTGCTCTCTTTGGGCAAATGCTCTGTGCACATAGGCAGCAGCTTGCTGGTGACAAGTCCCAGAAGCAGTGGGGTTTTACAGCCTACATGGAGGTGTTTGGTGTGTTAGCCTGTGCTCTGACCCCAGCAGGGCTCACAAATCTCTGTCTTCCCTCAGTTGTCCTCACTGGAAGTTCAATTTCCGCGCAGGAGAATTATTATGGGGAGCAAAGACAATGTGTATTTGTCACTACACATAAGGATGTGGAATTAGTGTTAAAGTTTGTCTAAGTCTCTGGGAAAAAGGCCTCTGAAATCTTGCAAATAAGTAACACAAGTTGCCAAGAGCGGGCTGTTGTGTCCGCAGTGGTGGAGAGCAAGGCAGACACATCAGCTCCTGCCTTCCCGGTGCACACGCTGGCTGCTCCAGAGGCAGGGAATCCTCCCGCAGATGTGCAAATTGGCACTGCCCACGCTTGCCTGCTGTGAAACAGCAGTCCCCTCCCCTCCCAACCCTCTCCCAGCAAAATCTGCTCGCTCTTTGCCCAGCTCCTAAGGGAGCGAAAATGTTTCTCCTGTCATCAGCTCTCACATCTACACCCTTTGTAGTCACTGTTTCCTTCTGGAGGGAGCCGCTGAGCCTGAGATAAAGCCCATGCCCCAAGAGCAGCCCTGTCCTGCTGCCCGGCGGCTCCCTGTGCTCCCAGGGCCGCGGGTGGCCGTCCCGGTGCCCGGACTCCAGGGCCCGCCGCGGCGGCAGGGCCGGGCAGGAGGTGCTGGGCTCCATCGAGCAGGACCTTCACGCTCCCCGTGCCTTTGCCTGTCTCCCACAGTGGCCTGTGGGGACCCCCCCGTGGTGGAGAACGCCCGGACCTTCGGCAGGAAGAAGGAGCGCTACGAAATAAACTCCCTGGTGCGGTACCAGTGCAGCCACGGCTACATCCAGCGCCACGTGCCCACGATTCGGTGCCAGCCCAATGGGCAGTGGGAGGAGCCACGGATATCCTGCATAAAACGTACGTCTCAGCCCCTCCGTTTCCACATTCCCACGTTTCCACATTCCCACATCGGCACCAGCCAGGGTCGTGGCGCTGCGTTCGGGATGGGGAAGGAGAAAACTCAGTGCAGCCTGAGGCAGGAAATCCTGCAGCCCAAGCAGATGTTTGGACTCAGGAGAGCTCTACAAAGGGATGGCAGTTCCCAAATCCTTCCCCCCACCCAGCTTTCCTGGCTTGAGGAGGTTTAGGACTGAGGCATCTGTGCGTCTGGGAGGAGGAGCTTGGAATGAGGGTGGAACAAATCACCCGAGCATGGGAGCCAGCGCAGTGCGGCAGGGAGGGTCCCAGCCACCCTGCACCACCCGGGCTCCTTAGGGCGCAAGTTAGAGATGAGCCAGGCAGGAGAGGAAAGCCCTGTCCTTGGCCTTGCTCGAAGCTCCCCTGAGATGGAGCTGGTGCCTGTGGGCGAGTCTGGGACCTGCTGGAGAGCCAGGCAGTGCAGTCGGTGACAGGGAGCAGAGCCAAGACGTTGGGGTCTGCTGCCAACCCCAGTGGGGGGTTGACAAGGGCTCCCCATGGAGGCCGGGCCGGTGCAGCACCAGGAGCGGGAAGTGCAGTAAAGGGCTCAACAGGGGCTCAGGACAGGTGAAGAAGCAAAAAAGCAGCAGTTTCTGAAATGGTGAGTTTTGGCACTGCCTGCAGGATACAGAAAGGATAGGAGGGAGGGGGCCATGCAGCTCCCCCTCAGCCCTGCCGCTCCTGCCTGCTCCGCTGCCCCGGCGAGCGGCGGAGCAGACAGAAACCCCCAGGAAGAGTTAACCTGGGAGCTGCTGCTGGACTTCTGACCCTCCTCCAGCGAGGCCTCCAGCCAGAGCAGCCAGGCCTCCGGGCGAGGCGTCCCAGCCCATTCCCAGGCCTGCCTACACCCGGCTCCGGCCCCACAGCTTCCCAGTAATTTGGCGTGCCTGGGCCGAGTCGCATCTGTCAAGTGTCATCAGCCTCCTTGCCAGCTCCTGGTCCAGCTGGGCAATTCCAGCTGGATTAACGGTCCCGCAGCCAGAAGAGGCTGGTGCTGACAGGGGAGGGAGCTCTGAGCTGGGAAGAGCTGGGCAGAAGGAGGGATGGAGGAGGCGCCAGAGGCGGCCGCTGTGGGGATGGTGCTGCCGGCTCCTGGGCTCTGCGACGCGGGCCCTGTCCCAGTGTGGTCACAGCAGGGATCACAAGGGCCTTGGGCCATTCCCAAGCTTTTGTGGCATCCATCAGATGCCTTCTAGTGATGCACAGGAACAATACCAGGTAGCAGAAGTGCAGCAGGGCAGCAAAGGCCGAGCCAGGCCCCCATCCCCTGCGTCCCCCTTCGGAGCAGGGCCCCTCGGCCCATGGGAGCCGCAGGGAAGGGGCGGCAGAGCCGGCGCGGGCAGTGCCGCGCGTGGGACGTCCCAGGGCAGGGGGCAGGCGGGCACGCTGGGGAAACATGAGAGGGGCCCTTGCAAAGCGCTCTGGGAAAAAAATAAGAAAAAAGTGGAAAAAATGGGGGATCCCAGCGGCGCGAGAGAAGGCGCGATTGTGCACGGGCTGGCGCCGTGCTCCCCGCAGCCGTCCCCGCGGTTTTGCAGGGAGCCGAGGCCGGGCGCCAGCCGGGCCGGGACAAGCAGGGGCTCTGTGCCCTCCTGCCACTAACAAGGTGCCTTTTCTTCTCGTGCCTCTCCCGCAGCCTCCAGCTTCCAGCGTCGACTATACAAGAGGAGCCCCAGGACTCGGTCGAGACCCAGCGGCAGAGCCCAGCACGCGCCCCCCCATTAGAGCGGGGCCAGAGAGACACAGAGGGGGGAAAGAGAGAGGGGGACAGACAGACAGACAGAGAGATTTACAGAACAGTTATATTAACAGAGTCAATTTCTTCTTCTTCTTGTTGCTTTTTTTGTCATATAAGGAAAAAAAATTATATTAAAGAAAACCCACCTTTGTGTATATATATAAAAAAAAATACTGTTTTTTTTTCCAACCACCAAAGCAAAGCAAATTAGAATTCAGCATTTTTACTAACCGTCCGGTTCCAATTATCTTTGTGCCTCTGGGGACAGGGAGGGGGGTGGGTTTGCAGAGGGCAGGGGGTTAAGTTAAATAATAAAGATGATTATTTTTTCCTGATTTTATCCATGAACAATGTAATTATTTCTGTTATTTAATCTCGGGGGTGGACAGCACCTTTTGGGGCTTATTTTATTGTTTTTCTCCAGAATCCTCCTCCCGCTGCAGCGCGTCGGGGCGGTCGGGCAGCGGGGCAGTGAATGTAGAGGAGGCGCAGGAGGGCGGCGGGCTGAGAGCGACGGAGCTGGGGAGGAGGGACGAGCGGGGCGGCGAAACCCGGGGCCGCCCGGCTCTCCGCGCCGCAGCGCCCGGCCCGGGACGACGTGCTCTTTCCAGGGGACCGTGCGGGGCACCAGCGTTCCCTGCACCTATTTATATTTTTGAACATATCCTATTTTGAAAGAATGATAAATAATAAAGAGAGTGAAATCGGAACGGTCACTTTTTTCTCTCTTTTTGATGTTCTTTGGGGAAGCACAGGAGATGTGCAACCTTGTGGGGGGCAGGAGCATCCAGCCTGGGCTCAGCGAAGCACCCAGAGGTGCTGCCGGAGGTGCCTGGGGGTTTCCCCAAGATTCCAGCACCTGGGAAGCACCCTGGGGTAGGACATGGCTCTCAGGGGGCTGATGGCCACTGGGGGACAGCGGGAACCCTCCCTGCCCCATGGCCCCCTGGTCCCCAATGCCCTGGCACCCCTCTGGGAAGCAGCGCCCAAGCACAGGGCCACCGAGCACCTGCTTTTGGTTTCCCAGTTAATGGGTGGCCCCAGCAGAGGGGACCTTGGCCAACCCTGGCATAGGGCCAGGAATCCCCAACCTGTTCCCACTCTGCAGTCCTTATGGGTGCAGATGGGGCTCTTGCACCAGAACAGAAATGGGGACACAGCCCAATGGCTCGAGGCCTTTCTCCAACATTTTATTAGAAGAGGTCCAGGAAAATATATCTTCTCATAACCACACTCTTGAACAAGGCACCAGTGTTGAGGGGCACCCAGGGAGGGCGCATGGGGAGGAGGGCACCGGGGGCTCCCGCCGCGGCCGGCACATCCTGCAGCGGCACCGGGATGGCGGGGATGTGCCGGTGCCCACAAGTCCAAATCCGGGTGCACCTTGCTGCACCCCACGAGCTCCGGGAGGCTGCTGGGGGCAGCAATGGGGCTGGGAGCCCCCAGGCCTGGGGACAGGGGCTTGGGGAGGAGGGGACAGAGCCACCAGCCCCAGGGGGTGGAGGTGGCCGAAGGGGCGAGGGTGGGAATAGCCCGCAAGCCGCCGTGCCCACGTGGGCAACGGGGCAATCGTCCTTGTGCCCATAACAGGGCCAGGCACCGGCACTGCCGGTGTCACGGGCTCATACCCAGCCCTGCTGCACGGGCAGCCCCGCTCCCCGGGTACCACGGGGCTGCTGAGCGACAGGCCCCAGCCCAGGGCCCTGCAGCGTTTGAGAAGTGTGAAAACGTAAAGCAATAAAAAAAAATAAAATAAAAAAGTCACCCTTCCCACCCAAACACACGTCCCCTCCCGAATACCCCAGAAACCGTCCCGGGAAACACCTGACTGAGACATCCTCCAGCCGAGCAGGCGCCAGCAGCTCCTTATCTCTCCTTGTAGCAGAAGACTCCGAAGCGGCCGCC